GGAAGGTCCCAGTCAACTTGGGCCTCATGTTCCTCACCTGTATAATGGGTACAACAATACTGTATCCACCAGAAGGATTATTAGGACCCCAGAGAGGTCAAAAAAAAAAAAAAAAAAAAGGTGTGTAGTGACTTTGATAAGAGTAGTTTGAGTATGGAACCAGGCCTGGAGGCCAGGCCATGGTAAATAAATTTAAAAGTTAATAGGAATGGTCTCTTTCTCTCCTTTTATTTGTTTTTTCTTGATCAGTCTAAATGAAGGTTTATCAATTTTATTAATTTTCTCAAAATACTAACTTTTGGGTTTTGGTTTCTTTGATTTCTATTATTATCTTTCTGCTACTTCATTGATTTCTGCTTTCATCTTTACTATCACCTTTCTTCTGCTTAGTTTGACTTTAATTTGTTCTTTCTTTAGTTTCTTAAGATAGAAATCAAAGGCACTGCTTTGAGAACTTTCTTCTTCTATAATATTGTTTAGTGCTATAAATTTCCCTCTAAGTTCTGCTTTAGCAGCATGCCACAAAATTTGATATGTTATAATTTTCATTCATTTCAAAATGCTTTCTAATTTCCTTTTTATGTCTCCTTTAATCCCTGGCTTATTTAGAAGTATCTTGTTTGGTTTCCAAAATTTAGGAAATTTCCAGATGTCTTTCTGTTATTGATTTCTAATTAAAATCCATCGTGGCCAGAGAACATACTTTATGTGACCTGAATCCTTTTGAATTTATTCAGACTTGTTTTATGGCCCAGGGTATAGTCTGTCTTGGCAAATGCTCCATATGCACATATGAGAGTGTGTTCCATGTTGGGTGGAGTGTTCTGTAAATGTCAATGAGGTCTGGTAGGTTGGTAGTGTTGTTCAAGTCTGCTGTACCCTTTTTGGTCTACGTGTTCTGTCCATTATTGAGAGGGGTACTGAAATCATTGACTATTAACTGGGAATTTATCTAGTCTCCTTGCAATTCTATTAGTTTTTGCTGCATGTAGTTTAGAAGCACTGTTATTAGGAGCATGAATGTTTACATCTATTATGTCTTCTTTATTTATTGACCAAGGTTCATTGAATGCTTAATACCTAATTGCTACATGACTTTCTAACTCCACATTGTGAACTCTAGAACACAGCTACCAAGGGAGGTAAAGGTCAGGAATAGTCTTACAAGTGGGCAAAAAATAGGGTGAGCCCAGTAGGCTGTTAGCTGAGGGCTGCTGCCCAAAATGCATCTTGTGCCTCCCCAGCCATTTCACCATCTTTAGGGGACCCAGTGCCTGAAATTTCACCTCCAGAGATCTTTTCGGTTCATTGGTCCCTGTCTAGATAGTTTTGCAAATGCCTGCAAGAGAGGAAACACAGCAGCACACGTGCTTCCCTGCTGAGAGAGAAGGTGCCACGTGTGAGCACTGGGGCCCAGAGTGGAACCAAAAACTGGGAGAGTCGGGGGCACCCCTGAGAGGCGCAACTTCCCAAGGCTGGTCTGGGGTGTGGAGTAATCATCTGTGATTACAGATGTCAGTGTAGAGTCCAGTGACCTGATTAATGGCATCTCAAACTGGCTCACAGCCTGCAGGCCCAGGCGGGCCTACTGGATTTTGGAATCCCAGGTTTGGCATCTGTAATGTAGTGCTGACATTTTTCAAGATTTGTATAGCGGAAGTGGATGTGAGGATGGAGATGAGAAAATGTTTGCCCAGTAGACTTCCCTTTTTTATGTTTCTTCCCCAAAAAACTGTTTAGAATGGAAAAGAACTAAGATTTGTCTTTTGAATCCCAGTCCCAATTAGACATTCTGCTGCCCTAAGTAACCTGCCTGATTTCCAGGGCCCCACTTATTTGTGTCTTTTTCTCTGGCATTAGGCTGTGTGTGTTGCAGGATATATATATATATATATATATATTTTGTTTGTTTGTTTGTTTGTTTATTTTTGTTTGAGGCAGAGTCTTACTCTGTCACCAAGCTGGAGTGCAGTGGCATGATCTGGGCTCACTACAACTTCCACCTCCTGGGTTCAAGTGATTCTCCTGCCTCAGCCTCCCAAGTAGCTGGGACTACAGGCATGTGCCACCACGCTCAGCTAATTTTTGTATTTTTAGTAGAGATGGGGTTTTACCATGTTGGCCAGGATGGTCTCAATCTCTTGACCTCGTGATCTGCCCGTGTTGGCCTCCCAAATTGCTGGGATTACAGGTGTGAGCCACCACAACTGGCTGCAGGATATAATTTTTATTACATTTATGGCAGTACAAATATAGCCCTAATGCCCTCAAGATTCTGGTCTGGATTCTGTGAAACAAGATAAACAGGTTGGAATGTTTCCCATGCTGATACAGTGCATAACCCAGGAAGGACGTGATGGATTTCATCAAATCTAAGTCCCAGAGATGGAACACCAAGCATTATTTTAGGAACCAGCAAGATAGTAAAAGTACTGCTCAACTATAACAAAGCGTAAGATGCAGTTGACTGTGAGATTCATCTGATTTCAGGATGCCAAAATTAAAACAAAACAAAAAACAAACAAAAAACACCTGGCTTTTTGCATCAATAAAATATGATAGGCGATGAGAACAAGAACAGGAGGACATGCACATAGCAACACAGCACAGACTTCTATATAAAAGTAGTGTGGTTATTTAATAAGTGCCCAACAATTTGCAATTGCAGAAACATGGAACCAGCCCAAATTCCCATCAATGAGTAGATAAAGAAACTGTGGTATATAGATAGGATGGAATACTACTCAGCCATAAAAAGAAATGTATTAATGGCATTTGCAGCAACCTGGATGGGTTTGGAGACTATTCTTCCTCTTCTTCTTCTTCTTCTTTTTTTTTTTGGAGACAGAATCTCACTCTGTCACCCAGGCTGGAGTGCAGTGGTACAATCTCGGCTCACTGCAACCTCCACCTCCCAGGTTGGAGCGATTCTTCTGCCTCAGCCTCCCGAGTAGCTGGGACTACAGGTGAGTGCCACCACACCCAGCTAATTTTTGTATTTTTAATAGAGATGGGGTTTTACCATATTGGCCAGGCTGGTCTCGAACTCCTGACCTCGTGATCTGCCTGCCTCAGAGACTATTATTCTAAGTGAAGTAACTCAGGAATGGAAAACCAAACACCGTATGTGGTGTTTGTGAGCTCCACTCACGAGTGGGAGCTAAGCTATGAGGACGCAAAGGCATAAGAATGATACAATGGACATTGGGGACTTGAGGAGAAAGGGTGGGAAGTGGGTGAGGGATGAAAGACTACAAATTGGGTTCAGTGTATACTACTTGGGTGATGCTGCACCAAAATCTCACAAATCACCACTAAAGAACTTACTCATGTAACCAAATACCACCCATACCCCAAAAACTTATGAAAATAAAGAATAAATAAATAAACAAATAAATGAAAAGTGTCCAACTTAGTCTAACTTTCAATACAGCTAAGCACACAGCCATAAAAACAAAGCATGGACTCATGCCATTCCCCTTGGAGCAAAGAAACCTGAATGATCAGGGAGGCACTGTCCCAAGATAGTAAAGGGAGGAGGGAGGAGGAAAAGGTTTCAGGAGGAGATAGACTTTCCAAAGGAAACAAGCCATAGGCCAAAATATGAGAAATAAATATTCATGAGTCCATCCTGATCTAAAGAAATGACTACATAAATAAGTAAACAAATAAGTAAGTGGGTCCAGGAGGAGGAGTCAGCTCTCTCACGCACATGCACTCCCAATAACTGATGTAACTCCTCTGCCCTGAAGCGGAGAGGAACTCCCCACTCAAGTGTGGGCTGCATAGAGTGACTTCCTTCCAAAGAGTACAGGATAGAAGTGGGGACAAAAAGTAACTGTATGTAACTATATGGCGGCCGGGGCGCGGTAGCTCACACCTGTAATCCCAGCACTTTGGGAGGCCGAGGTGGGCGGATCACCTGAGGTCAGGAGTTTGAGACCAGCGTGGCCAACAGAGTGAAACCCCGTTGCTACTACAAATAAAAAAATTAGCCAGGCATGGTAGCATGTGCCTATAGTCCCAGCTGTTCAGGAGGCTGAGACAGGAGAATCACTTGAACCTGCAGGACAGAGTTTGCACTGAGCCAAGATCACCCCCACTGCACTCCAGCCTGGGCGACAGAGAGAGACTCTGTCTGGAAAAAAAAAAAAAAAAAAAAAAGAGTAACTGTATGGTAGAGAGGCTCGACAAACCCTCCCTCTACCAAGTACGGTTAAGGTCATCATGGACAGTGCTAAGTCGTGTTGATACTGTGTGCCCTTGATCCGACAGGATGAAAATGACACTTTACCTCTATCTTCCTCCCGCTAACCTCAGTCAGCAGAGAAATCCCAGTTCAGAAACAAACTATAAATTCCTAGCCAGATTCTTCAAAACCATCAAGGTCATCAAAAACTAGGAAAGTCTGAGAAATGGCCACAGCCAAGACAAGCCTATGGAGACTCGAGGACTTATGACAGTGGTGTTCTGGGTGAGATTCTGGGACAGAAAAGAGGCATTAGGGGAAACTGAGGGAACCCGAATAAACTATGGACTTTATGTAATGGTAATATATTCATACTGGTTCTGTCTTACGACAAATACACCATACTAACGTACAAGGTAAATAATGCGAAGAACTGAGGAATATGCATTCTGTGCTATCTTCATAACTTTTCTGTACATATAAATGTATTTTTAAAGAAAAATTTCTCTAAAAAAATAAACAGGACACAAGCTGGAGAGGCTGCTCTGTTTAGCACCCTGGAAAAGGGTGAGGACTCTAGACTTGCTGGGGGGCCATGTAGGAAGTAGGGGGACCCACAGTAACACCTGGGGAAAATGTGGGGGTCATTCTGAAAAATCTATCATCTTGGTCTGGTTTTTCTGGCTTGTCTTCCTGTTAATATGGGAATGGATTTGGGGTTTAGCTAGAACTAAACATATGACTCACTTGTCTGTGAATAGCAAACTTTTCTCCAAATAAGCAGAATAAATATGTCTCCTTGAGTGTTTACTAAGAGCATGGTGTTTGTGGGGAGGACTGTGAAGCCATAGCAGACTCTGTCCATGCACGTGGACCGTGGGGTCTCTTCCACTAAGGTGTGGGTTCCATCTGCACTCGCCTCGATCCTTAGGAGCTCCCTGGAGTGCTGCCCCTTATGCAGGCGACTGGGGCTATAAGAGCAAGCCTTCTGCCCAGGGCACAGGCTCTTTGCCATGGACTCACACAGTCCCCATATTCTTGTGGATTCTTGTATCATTTCAAAGTGAGAATGCAAGGACAGTCCTATTTCATGTTGTTCCAAGGCCAGCTTGAACTGTGCATCACTACTTGGTTACCTCTCTTCCCAGACAAGGTGGGCTCACACTACAGTCACCAGACTGAAAAAAAGGAGGTGTAAGACATCATGGGAAAGTGCATTTGGGTTATCCAACCATGCAGGCCAATGTTCAGACAACTCATTGAAGTGGTTGCCCAGGACATGGTTGGCGCTGATCTGGTGGCTATCATAGGTGAGATCTCTGTAAACTAGAGACACGTCTGAGGTCTCCCTTCCTCCTCACTCTGGTTATTTTTATCTGACGCTTTCTCTGTCTCTCTCTCTCTCTTTTTTGAGACAGTCTTGCTGTGTCACCCAGGCTGGAGTGCGGTGGCATGATCTTGGCTCACTGCAACCTCCACCTCCCGGATTTTAGCAATTCTCATCCCTTAGCCTCCTGAGTAGCTGGGTTTATAGGCACCCACTACCATGCCCAGCTGATTTTTGTGTTTTTAATAGAGACAGGGTCTCACCATGTTGGCCAAGATGGTCTCAAACTCCTGGCCTCAAGTGATCCACCTGCCTCAGCCTCCCAAAGTGCTGGGATTATAGGCATGAGCCACCGCACCCCGCCTGAGGCTTTCTCATTTTAATCAAGAAAACAAAACAAACCCACTCTGGACTACTTGGAAAAATGTCTGTCATATATATGTTTGTATTCACCTAGGTTGGAAAAAGATTTTGTCCTGGGATTTGGTGGGAAGAATAAAGGTTCTCTTGGGAAAAAAAAAAAAAAGAAGAATCAAGAGAAACAATTCTCTTTTACTTGGAAAGGTTTGCAGTTACTTGCCTATCCCTGAACAGGACTCAGTTTTCATCCTAAAGCGCCGTTCAGCTTGCAAATTCTTTGACTGTTCTGATTCACTGCCTTTTATTTATTATTATTATTATTATTATTATTATTATTATTATTATTTAAAGCAACATGTAAGAAAGGCACCAGGCCACCTCATCTTTGGGGCAAAGATAAATTATTCTGCATATCAAGTTAATCAAATATGAGAAGAGCCCTGACCTCTTGGCTCCCTAGGCTGTGAGTATTTTAAGTGCGATTATGTAACGTCTTGGCCCAACTGACCTGGGGTGTGTTTTCGAAAACCGTTGTTTTATTTGCTGACTCTCCAGGCTGAGGCACTTAAGTGAAGAGCTAAGCATGTAATTTCTTTTGAATGAATATGAGGTAGTAGTGGCTCCAAAATTAGAGTATCCAGAAACCAGGGGATAATGATGTAACCACTGTGTAGGTCACTATGTAAAACTTGAGACTAGGAAGGGAAGCGTGCCCGTCATAGTCTGGCTCAATGTTAAATATATTGGCACATACTGTTGGTAAACAGCATGAAGTCGCTTTTCTGGGAGTTTGTAGGAACCGCCTCTTTTCCTTGTGAACTTTTAGCATTTACAATAATCTTTCTGTATTTTTCTTCTTTTCGAAACATCCTTTTCCCATTTATGAGCAACCACAATAAAAATGCATTTTAGTTATTATTTGTTAATAGCTTACCTCTCTTAGAGGCAAAATGTTGCTGGTATAGAATTGAACAGTTTTTTCCTTACTATCTATAATTCCATGAGTCTCCATTTATAATGCCTGGCAGTGGAGTAAGTAGTCTTTTCTTTTTTTTCAAGACGGAATCTCGCTCTGTTGCCCAGGCTGGAGTGCATTGGCGCAGCTCACTGCAAGATCTGCCTCCCGGGTTCATGCCATTCTCCTGCCTCAGCCTCCTGAGTAGCTGGGACTATAGGTGCCTGCCACCACGCCCAGCTAATTTTTTTGTATTTTTTAATAGAGACGGGGTTTCACCGTGTTAGCCAGGATGGTCTCAATCTCCTGACCTCATGATCCACCCGCGTGGCCTCCCAAAGTGCTGGGATTACAGGCGTGAGCCACCGCGCTCGGCCTGGAGTAAGTACTCTTTAAACATTGCTTGGTAATGCTCATGATACTGATAAAGTTGACTTTTGCTGGGAGAATGCAGGAGGATAGAAAAGAAAAATATTCATTCATGTAACCAGTGAACACATAGCCGGGCCTTTGGTGGAGATGGGAATATGTTACACAGGTCCCTAGAGACAGTGAGATGCTTGTATTGACACAAGATGCTATATGCCCTTTTGTTCATTATTCAGCCCATCTAAGTCTATTTCTATATCTGTATAATGGGTCAAATGAATGTACATGAACTTTACCTTAATACAGCCACTTAGATGATTATACCTACTATGGACACTGTTGGCCATATGCCGGCACTTTCAGTGGGTACTACCAATGAGGTCCCAAACCAGAATCCTGGTGGAGTCTACAGACGTGTTGGTGGAGGACCTGGAGTGACCCAGGATAGCCCAGGAAGAGAGACAGTGGTCCTGCAGATTGATAGTGAAGAGAGCTTCTAAAGAGGTTGCAATGGACTCTGCCCAGACGAAAATAACACCAAGAAGGGGAAAATGAAAGCTAGAGACTGATAGCAAGGATGGTGGAAAAGGCAAATTCGACTGGCAGAAGGTACCGGAACCCTGGACGTGGGCCTGCCAGCCTAGGAAACTGCTGCTTCCAGATGCCATTCCTGGTAGTGCTCCTTGCACATCATCCGCTGTTACTGGGGCTTCTGTTCTGGTCACCACGCACAAGGCCCCATGGTGAGCAAGAAGATTGAGCAGCCTGTAGTGCGGTCTATGTCTAAGGCACTGGAAGCAGAACTTGAAGAGAGGCAAATATGAACTCATGGCAGAGGGACAGCCATGAAGAGATGGATGTAGGGCTGAGGCATTTGGGTGAATACCCCCACTTCGCTCACCCTCAGGTCCTCAGGTCCTTCTATCTCTTGAGTTTTAGTAAGTTTCAAACCCACTGGCTGGGTGCAGTGGCTCACGCCTGTAATCCTAGCACTTTGGGAGGCCAAGGCAAGCGGATCACCTGAGGTTAGGGGTTCGGGACCAGCCTGGCCAACATGGTGAAACCTCGTCTCTTCTAAAAATACAAAAATTAGCTGGCGTGATGGCAGGCGCCTGTAATCTCAGCTACTCAGGAGGCTGAGGCAGGAGAATTGCTTGAACCCGGGAGGCAGTGGTTGCAGTGAGCCGAGATGGTGCCACCGCACTCCAGCCTGGGCAACAGAACAAGACTCCATCTCAAAAACAAAAAACAAACAAACAAAAAACCCATTCTTGTGCTAGAAGTGATCCTCTTCCTCTGAACTAAATGTTTTCTGGCCCCAGGGGAAGAGCACAAGTGGGCTGAACCTGGCCTTCTCTCAACAGGACCAACTGAGGTTGGAATGCAGGCACCACCACTTTGTGGCAAGTGCCCTCAGGCCGGATGTGCAACCTCTCTGAGCATCCCTTTCCTCATCTGCAAAGTGGGAACAATTTCAATGTCTTTGGAAGGCAGGAAGAATTCAGTGAACTACTCCGCATAGTGTCTGGTATGGTAAAGAGCATGTGATCGTTTTGAGAATTTATTCCAGCTTTCCAGAAGAAGTTAGCCTTCATTGCTGCTTCCACCAGGCAGCCTTCCCAGCTACCCTCCCTCCAGGGTACAATTTCTTTTCACTTTGCTTTAGCTTCCTCATTATGTTGCTTTCTTCCACATATTCTCCAGAATGAAATTAATCTCTTTTCTTCCTCAGATGCCTATAGTGCAGCATGCAGCTCTTCTCAGAATCTGCTTTGTGCTATAATTATTTTGCTTATGGACCATGTCCTCTCCCTAAACAGGAACCCCCATAGGGAATTGTGGTATAAGACAGAGTATACTTAGCCTGTGTCCTTGGTTCCAGGCACAGAGCTTCAAAAAACCCTTAGAATTTCATGAGTGATAGAAGTGTCTTTCATGGGAATGAGGTGACTCATGTGGGCCCCCCACTGAAGATAATAGCTTCAGGATGGGATCTGGCCACCAGAAAACACAATCAAGTGATCAGAGAGTTAGACTTTCTGGTACCAGATCTTCAAAAAGGGGAGGTGGACTGAAGATTGAGTTTAATCACATGACCAATGATGTAATCAGTCACGTCTACATAATGAATCTCCAACAAAAACTCAGGATACCAAAGCTAAGTAGAGCTTCTTGATGAGTGTATGGATGTGCCAGGAGGGTAACATGCCAACTCCATAGTGAGAGGGCATGGATTTGGGATCCTCCCAGACCTCACCCTTCCTAATGAAATTGTAACTACAGTTCTGTAAGTAGTTCTGGTGAATCATTGAACCTGGGGTTGTAGGAACTCCTGAATTAATAGCCATTTGGCCAGAAGTGTAGGTGGATCTGGTGACCCCTTGAAGTGTGGCTGGCATCTAAAGTGCGGACAACTTAATGGAAAACTTTGCTTTTAGCCTATGGGGTCTGTGCTAACTCCAGATAATTAGTGTCAAAATTGTATGCAGTACACCCAGTTGGGGTGGAAATCGAAGAGGAAAAGACTAACGTTGTAATAGTCTTTGTGCTCCACATCAGGAATGGATAAATATATGTCAGACTTCAAAGAGCTGATATAGGCCGGGCGTGGTGGCTCATGCCTGTAATCCCAGCACTTTGGGAGGCCAAGGCAGGCGGATCATGAGGTCAGGAGATGGAGACCAGCCTGGCCAATATGGTGAAACCTTGTTTCTACTAATAATACAAAAATTAGCCAGTTGTGGTGGCGTGCACCTATAGTCCCAGCTAATTGAGAGGCTGAGCCAGGAGACTTGCTTAAACCCAGGAGGCAGAGGTTGCAATGAGCCAAGATTGTGCCTCTGCACTCCAGCCTGGGAGACAGAGTGAGACTCCATCTCAAAAAAAAAAAGAGAGATGATTTAATTTTTGATATTCATATGGGCATTTGTTATTTCTTTGACCTTCCTCTGTTTGGGGCAACCCCTGATATTGGAGTGTTGGTGGTAGATAGAGTCTGGCTCCC